CCATCAAATGCCGAACTACTCCCCCTCAGAATTCCCCACGTGTCTCTGGCGGATGATTGCGGGCCAAAGCGATCAGGCCACCGGCATATGTCGATCAATATGTCGATCAGATTCTCAAGTGAGGAAGGGAGAGCACTTGCGACCTCACCTCGAACAGGACCCGCTCAAGTCGAGGATGGCTGCTTGCACTCCTCGCAAGGCAGGCGAACTCGAACTGTCTAGTATGGACCGCCTTCGCATGAGGAAAACAGTACTCGTGGATTGAATTTGAGCGTTCATTCTCCATGGCCACCAACTATAGCCGAGCAATACATGAAACTGTCAACAGCTACATGAACGGGCACCTCGGACCATAGCCGAGGCGCAACCAACCAAATGGGCCGATCTCACGGTCCTCCAATTTTGTATCTCGCCCAAATTGCTCCCTGAAGATCGCTTTGGATCTTTAAACATGAAAAGTTCCCGAGGACTCGTTTTTCCCTCGTTGCTGGGGCATCGAACCAACCAAACATAACGCCTCACTCGCCAGAAAAAGCCGGGAAGAAGAAAACGCCGCGTCGCATGGGGTTTGCATGGGACAAATGAGAATGATGGTGTGGTGGTAGACGGTCTCTTCAAGTGGCGACGGCCCAGTCCTTGGTACGCACGACTGACTCCGGGCGTTCGGTGGTTGCGCTCGACTTTGCCCTCTCCTCGGCGGCGGCCTCCCTCCTGACGGCGTCGTAGCTGGGCGGAGGAGGGGAGCCGGAGGTCGGGGCGTCGACGATGACGGGGTTGAGGAAGATGGCGCTCTGGATGCGCTGGACGCGCCTCTCGTTTTCCCAGCGGTAGCGGTCAAAGTTGTCGCGGTATTCCTTTTCTGCGTCGCGCAGGGCCTTGCGGCGCTGGCGTGCTTTTCGCGAGAGGAGCGAGCCGCAGCTGAGGAAGATGGATGGCATTTTGGATTGTGGTTTTGTTGGATCCGCGACGTCGTGGGTGGTTGCGAGAGAGGGTGGGGATTGACCAGATCCGGCCCACGGTCTCGGATTTGGAAGATGTATGCGCGTCAAGGTTTGAGCAGATGTGGGGGGATGAATAGCAGGGAATGAATCGAGGTGCAGTATAAAAGCCAGATAGGGACGGCTATCGTAGGCGGAGGAGATGCAGGGCGAAGGCACCGGTCAAATGGGAGATGCAGGGCAAGAGTGCAAGGTCGAGACGGCGAGAAACCGGTGAGGAGAATAAACAGTCCAAGAGCAGAAAGTAGACTGGAGCAAGATGCGGGAGCCAAAAAGAATCATCTCAGCATGGCGGACTTGAGGACGCGCGCGGTGGTTGGCTAGGGCGTGGGGTTTCGTCATGGCAACGACGGGCTAGCCAAGGTGATGGCAAAGCTTGACGCCGTCTGGATCGACACCAGGAGCAGCCATGTCCCTGGAAGTCTCCGCCCGGCCCGCAGCAACGACGCATCTCCTGGTATTGGCATAGTAGAGGTTATACCGTTGGGGACCGGTGACGAGGCCGCGGGACGCGCCGTTGGACGACGTTGTCAGGTCAAGGCCAACCCACCGGACTCGACGGCAAGAAACGAGGTAAACAGTAATCCGCTGTCGGTGGTAGCACGGCTGGTTGTTGGTTGGGCAAGAGAGAGAGGGTACGTGTATGTAAGAAGGGGGATGCTGGAGTTGAGCTGGCGCGTTACAGCAAGAGCTGACTGATTGTCGCGGGGATTGGACGCGCAAGACGGAGAAGAGAAGAAGAAAAGAAAAAAAACAATCAACTGCCACTGCCGGCTGGTCTCGCGGTGGCGCCAACCACACTCACACTCACACTCACACTCACACTCACACCCAAACTCACAGCCAACTCCAACAACTTCTTCTTCTTTGACAATGTCAACAACTGGAGCTATGGCTGCAAGCTGACCCGAGACCTGGCGATGCAATGGAAAGGCTGCGGCTGGGCTGGGCTGGGCTGGGCTGGGCGGTGCACCTACCGAGTCCGACACCGAGTCCAAGGGAGCCCTGGTCCTGGTCCTGGTCCTGGTCCTGGTCCTGGTCCTGGTCCTGGACGCCGCCGGCGGGAGGTCCCACTCGGTCTGGTTCGCCCATTCATTTGGGGCTTCACGCCCGCCGCAATATGAGAAGCACCCGACACCTTCGATGGCATTGCATCTGCTCACACCCAGGGTCGCCGTCTTGACAGGATCCTCTCAGGCTGGGCTGCATCTGATCTGATCCGATCGAAGAGGTGCCCGCTGATCTGCCAAGCCGTTCCCCAGTATGGCTCAGCCGCGCCGCTGCCCTCGTGCAGTGCAGTGCAGTGCAGGCCAGGCAGCGCAGCGCAGCGCGTCGTATCCATCCATCCATCCTCCCGAAATCGACGTTGTGCTCCACTCTGAGCCCGTGGGCCTGCGCTGCTACATTACATGGCCTACTTCTACCGTGCCTACCACCTATCTTGCCCGACCTCACCCTCTCCTCCCACCCTTTCGTCTTGTTTGCCCTTTGCGCTGCGCTTGCTCTCGGACTGTTGGCTACACCTACAGCCCTAATTCTGTCATCAATCTCTCTCGGCCTTACCGCACTTTGCGATTCCACTCCCTCGGTCGTGCGACGACCCTGTCATACACCTACAAGTCTCCGCCGCCCGCCTTTTTTCCTCGCCCTCCCATCCTCCAGAACCCTAATCCTGCCGCTCGCCGACGACGACGACAACTCGCCCTCGACCAAAAAAGAAGCGCCCCTGCTGCGCCTGAATCCGCAAGAACCGCGACGCCGTCGCTCTGTATATACGCGCATGGGGCAGCTGCCAACCGTCAACTGAAGCCCAATTGCTGGCATTCCGAACCACTTTGACCCAGCTTTCTCCTCTGCCAAGACTTCAAGGTTCAATGCCGTCGCGGCCTCGGCACGAATACATGACTGTGGGCGACTTGAACGCTGCGAGAGAAGCCGTGCCTGTAAGTCGTCATTTGCCTAGTGTCAAGCTCGCCTCTGATGCGTTCCTAGTGGTATTGGAGAGTGACAGCCCTACTCGCAACATGGATGATATTCGGAGGGTGAGTGTGCCGCGACATCATTTTTCAGACTCCGCTGACAACGCGCCAATAGATATGTCATCATGACTCCTCTCTTTCATGGAAACCCAAAAGGCATGATAGCAATCGATCCCAAGGTCCTCACTATTTTCGTCATCGCGCTCTTCATCATCGGATACTCCCTCACCGGCATCATCTGCGTCGCCGTAAAATGCTGGACGTTTCAAACCGAATCCGTCTTCTTACCAACCATTTCCTCCTCGGCTCTGGGTCTCCTGACTGCGTTGTACAGCTTTCTCGTATACCAGCACACCCAATGGAACGCTGCTACCATTACCGCGATTGTCCTGTCGGCAGGCATGACCGTCATCTACACCATACTCTTCTTCCTCACCACCCGGCGCATCAGCAAGCTCCGCGCCAAGTTGAGCGCAGAGAGGAATTCGACCAATGCAGTGCTGCAGCCCGAGACCACTCCCTATGATGCCTGGATCGCCAACATGTTCCCGTCCGTCCGCCCACTTCCGCCCGACTACATTCCTCCGTCGGAACAGGAACCGTATAGGCCATACTACCGCACCGAGGAGGAAGTGGTCAACGAACAATTCGCCAAACTGCTCAAGCAAAGGGAACAAGAATCAAGACTGTCTCCCGCCGCCAGCACCAGCACTTTCCGCATCGATCTGCCGCAGAATGACGAGTCGGACAACGAGGCTAGCCCCAATGCCAGGAGGACCGCCACGCTGCGAGACATGATGAGGCCGCAAATTCCAGCCAGGTCGCATGGACAGCCACCAGCACACACCCTCCGCGAGTACTACGCCGTCGGTGCATCGTCGGTGCCCCGACAGCCCAACCAGGACTGGAACCGGGGACGGTCGAGCGCAAGAACTGAAACGGGGGCGCCGAGAAAAAAAAGCAGAGAAGAGCGCCGGACTGAGATTGAGCTCGGCCGCATGTTGTTGTAAAGAGCTGTTAACGCACAGTGTTGCTCATCAGGTTTTTGGAGTTTACAGAAGGGCGTTTTTGGTCTCAGCATTTTCCCCGTCTACGTTTTGGGTCTGTATCGGTGGACGGAAGGCTTCATTGTAAGGTGTTGGTGGTGTTGTTTTGTTTGCGTTTTTCTTTTCCCGTCATCGTTGTTCACTCGTCTCGTCTCGGATGCCTTTTACCTGAACGTCCCTGTTGATCACGCTGTTGAGACTCGACACTACCTACACGCGCATCTTGTACATTGTACACACGGCGTCCGCGCGGCATGCGCCTATCTGATATCCATCACCTGCTCTCCTACTATACGTACCATAGCCTATGCAGCTAGCCAGCTCCTTGATAATGCATTATACCAATCTGTACATCTACTCCATCTTCGTTGCCAGTCCTCTCTTCTTCAGCCAAATGTCATTCAGTACCTCACAGCCTTCGGTTTTCCCCCACCATTTCTGCTCCAGTCTACGTCAGTGCAGGCACGCCTGCACCGCTTCAAATAAGCAACAGCATCAGCACCAGCCTCAGGCTCAGCCGCAGGCCCACATGCCCGCCAGCCGATCCACCCACTGCACCGCTCCACCGCCAGGGACTCTTTCCTTTTGCCCCACGCCCCAGCCTTCCCACGGAACGATGTCATTGTCCTGGGTGCTCCTGTGCGTGCGACCGCAGAGAGAGACGGAAATAGACCTGATCGACCTTGCGGAGTGCACGGGGAGGAAGCAGGTACGGCCAAACCACGTCCGCAGCCGTGCGTCATGTCATCACTGACGCCACGTCCACCGCTCATGTCGCGCATCACGACTCCTTTATGCCAGGTACCCTACCACTCTTCTATACACCCAGTTCCAAAGAGCCAGAAGCTTCCTGAATGGAGTTTTGGTGTCGTGTTGCTCGCTGCGTGAAAATTGTTGATGTGTAGTATAGTTATGTTAAGCAATCCCAAAATCCAATTGCAACCCTTGGTGAATGACGAACATCCACCGGACGGCCAGCCAGCTTGGCGCAGGGGTAACGCGTCGCACTTGTATACGAAGACTTAATCTTTGGAATTATGCAATGCGAAGATCGTGTGTTCGATTCACACAGTTGGCAATTTTGTTTTGTCCCTGTTAGGGGCTAGAGAGAGTGAGTGGGAGGAGAGGGGTGTTTCTTTTGTTGGTGGTTAGAGGTGAAAGGGGATATGATGTTTGGGGTAAGGGGTAGAAGGGAAGTGTCGGATAGGTACGGAATGGGGGAGACCTTCTCGTGGATACTGTCATAGTGAGGGGGTTTTGACGAAAATATGTGAGACAAGCTGGCCTTCTTCAGTATCAGTGTCTTGTCTCGCAATGGGATTGGGAGTCTATGAGGTTGACTCAATGCAAGTAGTGGCAGTTGAATGTTTACTTGATCCAAAGCAAATGGCCAGTACTCGACCAAACAACCGGAAATGCAAAGAGTGTGTGTATATAGAATGGTGAGAACACAGCATCTTCAAGCAGAACAAACCCAGTCTTGTTCTTGAACCGCCAATATAAGACAACGAATAAGCTTATAGCAGTTGGGGAGCGGACCGGATGGTTGTTACTCGGGTCTACATGCCCTGTCAGCGGCCCGCAAGCCTATCGATAGCGCCCGACGCGAAAAACTACCAGGCTAGCCGCGTCGCCGACAATTTACAAACCACAACCCTCCAAACTATCACCACCATCTTTACCATGGCAGACCGCGAACTCGACCCTTGTGACCGCCCGGCCAAGCGCCAACGCGTCGACGGCGAAGTCAGCATGCCCGACGCCGATGCGACGACGAACCCCGGCGCCCAGTGCCTGTCGCAGACGCTCGAGCTCGTCGCCGACGGCAGCGCGCGCAAAGACCTCGAGGACCAGCTGGCCAAGGAGATTCGCGTCAGTATGGACCAATTCACGAGCCCGGAGGCGAGCGGTTTCGTTGGCGTCTTCAAGCAGCGCTACCACGACTTTATGGTCAACGAGATTGCGCTCGATGGCACCGTGTGGCATTTGGAGGAGGACGCGGGCTTCAATGCCGCCGAGAAGAAGACTCAGCCTGAGACTAAGGCTGAAGCCGCCGTTGCGGTGGAGGAGAAGGAGTCGCAGGTCAAGGATGAGGTAAAAGAGGAGGCCAAACCTGCTGAGGAGCCCGCACCTGAGCCCAAGGATGAGTCCAAGGCCATTTTGTCCGCAGAGGTTGGTGGTACACTTGAGTGGAAAGTCGAGCCTTGCTAATTTGAGCAGATTGCGGAACCCGAGGTCAATCGCCTCAAGGCCATATTCGGCGACGACGTTACAGACGCCATCATCGCCCTCGACCGAGAAGTCGTCAACAAGCCCAACCGCAAAGCCAAGGACTTTGGCACGGTATCCTCCAAGTCAATCGACAGAACGGATCGCAGCGCAGCCCACCAGGCCGTTCGCGAGATATTCAACCACCGCCTGGCCACCGAGACCGAAGAGGGCGGTATCATCAAGATCGTCGCCGGAAATCCCAAGGTGAGGCGCGGGAATGCACCGCCGCCGGATTCAAAGGGCTCGAGCGTGGGCAGGAGGAACAACAACAAGCAGAACCCGGCGTTCAAGGTCAATTGGAATGAGGTCGGCGGCGAACAACTGCATTTCACGCTGTACAAGGAGAACAAGGACACGATGGAAATCATCAGCTTCCTCTGCAAGGCGCTGCGCGTGGATGACCGGAAGTTTGGCTATGCTGGGACCAAGGACCGTCGCGCCGTCACTGTTCAGCGTATTAGCGCCACCAGGATATCGGCGCCGCAAATGGCGGAACTGGCGTCCCGTCTGTTCAACTGCCGTATTGGAAACTTTGAGTACAAGCCGAAAGCTCTGTCTCTTGGTGGCCTTGCAGGCAATGAGTTTACCATCACTCTTCGCGACTGCCACTTCCCTGGTGAGGAGGTCAAATCGATCGAGGAGCGCGTCCAGGATGCTCGGGGCCGGCTCCAAAAGGCGGTTGAGCACTTTGAAAGTCATGGCTTCATCAACTACTTTGGTCTTCAACGTTTTGGAACTTATGCTGTCTCCACGGATACGATTGGGAAGCACATGCTCAAGGGCGACATGGAGACTGCTGTCGACCTTATTATGACATACAGCCAGGAACAACTCGAAGCCTACGAGAAGCAGGGAGATTCGCTCATCTCGGACGACGATAAGAAGAGAGCCAAGGCTTTGCACATCTGGAAGACGGAAGGGAATGCGACCCGTGCCTTGGAGATTCTCCCATCGCGCTTCACGGCTGAGAAGCGCGCCATCGCCTGGCTTGGGCAAAAGGACCACAGGACGAAACAGTTCAAGCACCCCAACGATTTCCAAGGTGCCTTGATGCAACTGCCGCGTAACCTCCGCCTGATGTACCCTCACGCGTATCAGTCGTTGGTTTGGAATACCGTTGCCAGCGAACGCATCAAGCGCCACGGTCTGAAGGTCATTCCTGGCGACTTGGTCCTCGTTCACGAGCACAAGGACAAGGAAGCCAACAACGCCGAGCCCGAAGCTTTGGAGGAATTCGACGCCGACGGCGAGCCCATCATCCGCCCCGAAGGCGACAACGCAGCGGCCGATCCCTTTGAGCGCGCACGCCCCCTGACGCAGGACGAGGCCGAGTCCGGCCGCTACACCATCTTCGACGTGGTGCTCGCGACGCCCGGCTACGACGTCGAGTACCCGGCCAACGACATTGGCCGCTTCTACGAGGAGTTTATGAAGGACGAGCAGCGCGGCGGCGGCATCAATCCGCACGACATGCGGCGCAAGTGGCGCGACATCAGCCTGTCGGGCAGCTACCGCAAGCTGCTCGCGCGCGCTCTGTCCGGCGGCGTCGGCTTCGACGTCAAGACGTACCGCGACGGCAGCGGCAGCGAGCAGCAGCTCGTCCCGACCGACTTGGACCGCTTGGTTGAGCAGGGCAAGGGCATCTCGCTCGAGGAGGCCCGCAAGCGCAACTGGGTCGATCGCCCGGACAGGAATGCGAAGGACGGCGCGTCTTCCCAGCCAAAGCCTGGCGTGGAGCCGCCCAAACCAGCGGCCCCTGAGCCGCAGTTGGCGGAGGAGAAGCTGGCCGTCGTGCTCAACTTCAAGCTTGGCTCCAGCACGTACGCGACGGTGGCATTGCGCGAGCTGATGAAGGGCGGCGCGCAAGCTTTCAAGCCCGAGTTTAGTCGCTAAGGTTGAATGCGCGTGGCATTTGGTTGTTTGGGAAAAAGCTTGCTTTTAAAGGTGGACGAAGTCCTTTGCGTAGGGACATTTTGAGTCTTTTTGCTCGCGGATGAACCAACAATGTGCATGCATGATGAGCGGCGTTGGCGTCAGGGCGGTCCTGCATTAGAAATTTGGTGGGGGGAAAAAAATGGTGGAATTCATTTGGTTGAGCCCTTCTTGCCGATTTATCGTTGAACTCTCGACTCTAGGTACTGCATGACATGCCGCTCTGCTTTCGGAGAAGCCCTGACACTTTTCACGAGCGACAAGTCGGACTCCATAAGTCGATAATCTCACGTTTGCCGTCACGTGCCTGCCCTTTCGCTAGCCCTTCCACAGTGAGTGCCGCAAGAAATGAGACCTACTGGCCATATGAGTGCACCTATGGAGCACTCTCATTTGCTGCTACAGTTGCGCTTAGGGAGTATTCATTTGCTGCTATAGCCGCGATTGAGCAGCATCCATGTACTACTGCGGTCGCGCTCAGGAAGCAGTCGTTCATTGCTGCAGCTAGACCCAGGGAGTCCTGTCTCTTTCGACACAGACTGTGCTTCAAGCGTCGAGGGTCCCCTTATGGCATGATGCTGTCCGTCATCACGAACGCTCCATGCCGTCAAGCAACACCGTCCATCAATGTTTCAACCTTACCAGGTCAGCACAAGTGCCTTGCGGCCTCGAGACAAACCACAGCATCCACAGCCACCAAAAGTAGTACTGCGTGTAATGGCTGGACAGAGAGCAAGTATCCCTGGTCAATTCTTCTCCGAATTCAAGGAGCTCGAGGCGTCGAGACTGACTGACTGTCTGTCTTATCGATGGGAAGGCTGGCTTGGAGGCACCGCTACATAGTCGTCGTCGAAGAGTGGGGCGTGCCTCGGAGTTCCGCGTGATGGATGCGACTTCGGGGACGGGGCTTTGCTGCGTGACTATCACAAGGTGCCTGTGCACGGCCAGAATTTCGCTTCCACGTCCGTATGAACACTGTCGCTTTCCCCTCTTCTTTGCGCCGCCATGGGCAGCAGTCTTTTCGCAACAATCGGTCGGTGTCTCCAAATCTTCTCCACTGCTGTCCTTCTGCGCTTTTCCTGGAATCTATTCGCCGACCGATTCTCCTCTCGTTTCAATTTCTCTCCAGCGTTCAAGTTGTTCTTTTGGTAACGTCTCTCACCATGAAGATGCAGCGTCGACAAGCATTACAGACCCCCTGTGGAGCCGTCCATCACCATTAGGGAACAGTGACGGCGCTCTCCAGGGCCTGTGATTGACTGCTGGGGACAATGCTGTTGCAAAACACAATAGATAAATAGAGATAGAGGAGACGAGATAGGAAAGCTTACAGTGCCAGTAATACAAAAATACACCGCGACCGACTCCTCTCCACCTACCCACCATCCTCACCACCACCGCCATCCTCCTCCTCCCAAGCATTCTCCCTAACTAACCCCGCCCCAGGCCCATCGCTCTCCCTCTTCTCGCCAGCCTTCCCGCCACCATCACTCAGCATGGCATACAGCGCCTGAAAGCGGACGGGCTTGGTCAAGAAGTAATTGACGCCCGAGCTGAGCGCCTCGACGCGCGTAGCCGCGTTGGCCAGACCAGTCAGTGCGATGACGGTCGCCGGGGCGCAGTGGGCGCGCAGCTCGAAGCGGCGGATCTCGCGTGTGGCCGTGAGGCCGTCCATGACTGGCATGGTGAGGTCTAAGGGTTGGTGTGTTGGTGTAAGTTGAGGACAAGGCATGGCAGGGAAAGGGGGGGATTGGGGATGGAGAGGACGAACCCATGAGAATGTAGTCGAAGCATCCGTCGTCGCGCTTGTACGTCTCGACGGCTTCGAGGCCGTTTGTTGCTTCAGAGTAGGCAAAGCGGTATTTTTTCATGAAC